TATTGTGGTATGGTTGGTCTAAACAACCCTGGTATTTTGTCAAATGACAGTAAGTTTGTTTTGTTGTTAAGCGTACAACTTCACAATGCTATAAACCCTCAGATTTACCGCTGAGCCACGGGGAGCGTGACACTAAATATAGCTGGAATTCTGAGTATGTTGAGGTAAACTAACTGATTAACTGTCTTAATTTCTGAAAACAAAAGTAAATTTAATCGAGTTGGAATATTACGTTGTGTATCTTACAATGCTATTTTGTTGAATATGTGAATATAATATTTTGGATAGTAATACATCTGGCATTCATGCATTGGTTTATTTACAGGTTTTAGCATCGTTTTCAAATATACGTGATATGATACAGTCGGCTTCGCATTTTTAGTTGAAACCACAAACAGTTGTTTCGATAAACTTTCTCGTAGAGACCCGTTGATAAAAGTTTTTGTTAATAAGTTGAATCACACTTTCTGAAAATAGTGAATGGTATTAATTACACATTTTTAACAGTTTACAGTAGATGTTGCTAGCATTCATGTGTGTTTAAATTCAATTGAATTACGTATTCTACTTCGTTAGTAGCATTCAATTGGTCCGGCATGGCCAGGTTGTTATAAGTTTCACCATAATTAACTGAGTGTCGTCATTTGTTTTATTGAAGAAACTAATTACTAAAACATTACGCTCAAAATTAAACTTCTGAATAAAAAAACTTGTAACTCATTCTAATTTGCTCCCCAGTGGCTAGTGGTAAATCTGAGGGCTCACACCGCTAAAAATCGGGTTTCGATACTCACAGATAACCCATTGTGTAGTTTTGCGTTTAACAACAAACAAAGGTTCTAATATATATTTTCCATTATTTCTGTTATGAATCTTGTAGGTTTTAATTTTGTAATGTAAAGTTTACGTATGTATTTTTACTTTACAGAGGGTTGGTTAATCGCACTTTCTAAGAATGACATTCAGGTCCTCTGCTTCTCTTGGAACTATTTCCTGGGTTGTTGATCGTGCTTATTCTGACGGTCATGATTACGCATTATTGTCCTTGAAATAAACATTTTATCAAACTTCTGGGAAGGAGAAAGAAGTCAATATTAGACCACTTTTATCACAACAAACTCCCCAGACCCATAATTCTATATAGACATCGGCTTTCGAGATCACATTTAATTAAAACAAATGCATACACATTTAAGGGGGTATCTTCAGATATGCTGGATAACACCGGTTTCATTCTCCACAGCTTGTAGAAACACTTCTGTAGACAAAGAACATAGCTTTTTGACATACTAGCCTTTCGACGTAGAAATTTCGTCTCGCGTGATTAGTATCAATACGTTCTCCTGGCGGTAACAATAGTTCACCTTAGTTTTACTGTTCACTTTCGATAAGAAAAAAAAACACGAAAAAGATTTCATATTCCTTTTTACATGTTAAAGAATATTTATGACCTTGCCATTAGTAACAGATCGCCCACTTCTTGTTGCTGTCGTTCAAGTACACCCAGGTTTCGTCCAAAATTGCAACCAAAGTCAACTTCTTATGTGACCTTTTATTCTCCTGAACAATAACAGTGAACTATTCGAATGCGCTTGAGTTTTGGGTCTCGTTTGAAAACCATTCTTGCGTGTGAGGTATTTTTCAAACACTTTTCCACAGCCTTTATTTTTTCTCTCTCATCACTGTACCTAAGGAGTAGCTTGTGCACTCTTGTTTATAATTGTTTACAAGAGTAATATATTTGTCAGTTATCATGTACGTAGTTCATTGTGATAGGTGAAACTTGTTAGCAGTCACAGTGTTAGCTGAGGGTTGATGGGTGGGGAGTTGTGGACTACCAGTCTTTAGAAATGATATCGTATGGCATGCAGTGGGATGCAACTTAGGAGATTTTTATCTTCTTTTGCTGATGTTATAGTTGGCGTGTCCTAGGTTATGCATCTTTCATGTTTTGATATCTTTCCTCAGACAGGACCGTGTCATCACTTGCACTTGTAAGGATCAACTTGCGGCATTGTTAGATGGTTGGAAATTCGCCCTGAACCAAATATACAGATGCCAAGTGTGTTGCCCATGTTGCCACGGCTCGTACCTGAAGCAACACGACACTGTGTTAACATATAAGTTGCGAAATTTAGTACAAGGCAACGTTTTCACTTACGAAGCCTTGTCACGGTAACTAGCATCAAATACCCATGTTCCGCTGACGGGTTCAAAAGCCCTTCCCACATGATTCACAGAAGCCTTCAATTATGGACGAACCTCCTGCGTTATTCTCAATTACTTTTAATGATACCCAAGAGGGTAGGTTGGATCCATACCTTAAAGAACCTGTTAGGATACCCGCCCATAGCACTTGACCATGTGTGCCAAGTTTAGTCCCGCTAGCTTGTAAGCGATTCATCCCGTTTTATTGATCGCTGTTTGGTCAAGTGATCTGTTGGTTTGGTTCATGAATGTCGTGGATGAAACCCACATTAATTCTTCGGTGCAATGTGGACCGGTGGCTAGGAAAAACCGTTATTACACCATACAGCTACTGCATGCACGTTACAATAGTTCGTTCGCACACGTGAGTGGCCCTTTTCAGGCCATGTCCATGAAGGTAGGCCCGGCATGGCCAGGTGGTTAGGGCACTCGACTCGCAATCTGTGGGTCGCGAATTCGAATCCCCGTCCCACCAAACATGCTCGCCCTTTCAGCCGTGGGGGCGTTATAATGTGACGGTCAATCCCACTATTCGTTATTAAAGAGTAGCCCAAGAGTTGGACGGT